ATTCCTGTAGACGTACAGAGCTCTTGGATACGCCATATGTGTTTGTTTTTCTCACCGACTGTCCCATCTGTGTGCTCTGTGCCCACTTTTAGTTGCATGATGAGTAGTGAGGAGCATGACTTAGGAAGTATGCTTTCCTTCAGTTTTCAGTGGTTACATTGTCATTTCTCTTGAATAATGGTGAGTCCCATATCTGCCTGCCAGCAAGACACAACATTGCAGGAATTATGGCATTCTTTGGTGATGCTGTTGGTAGCTGAAGGTGCTGAGCAGTTTCTTAGTACTTGGTCGTTCGTTGCTAGAAACCATACAAAAGGTTTGGTATGCATTACATATGATGTAGTTAAGCTTTTCACATATGGCATTTCCCCCCTTTTGCTTTTCTGCAAATTTTAGCAATTTATCTGAGATTGCTACTCTTCTTGTTTGCAACAATCTGACTTTGTATTTTAGTGTCCTGTTTGCTAGATCAAAAGAAGCTGTCTTAAGAGGTTCCTGCCCTTCCCAGATGGAAGTGATACACATTTCAACTCACCATGCATGACTGTGTGTGTGTGTGTGTGTGTGTGTGTGGTGTGCTATGGTAGAGAAAAATTACACTAAAATACTTAAAAGAAGTTTTGTTTAATCCATTATCCGTCTCTTTTTTTTCTTTTGGACAGGCTTATCACAAGTATGTCAATAGAATAAATCTAATGTGGCACTGTAACGGAGCTGTACAGGCAGACTTAGTCATGGTATACTCACCATTACTATGCTGGAAGGCCTCTCAAGCAATGTTTCCAGCAAATTAGTCCATGTTTTCTTTAACTAGTCAGTAATGTAGTTGTGGTAAGTAACATTAGAGATAGTTTTAAAAAAATAATAATATTAATAAAAAATTCATTACCAAGAACTACTGATTTGACTTCCCATTTGGATGGTTTTTAGGAATTACATCTCCTTATATACCTTCCTGTGCTTATTCCCAGCAAAGATCCAGAATGTTAAATACTGGAACAATTTCATACTTGTGCAGCTCTAACATTTCTCTTAATTCTGTGCGTACTCTCTACAGTTTTATTGCTAGTTTTGCCTGAAAGGGTAGTTACTCAGCCTATAAGATAACAATTTTACATTACTACTTTTGAACATCATTGTTAATATGAGTTCCATTGTAGAGCTAAATCCAAATTTGAACGTATAAAGGAAACACATTTTGTATGGTTTGGTTTGTTACTCCTCTTCTATTTAATACAAGTAGAGAGAATTTAAATATTAAACTTGCTGCTGTGTTTATGTCCTTGGACTTTGCACTTGAAATTACCCATTCTCTAAGGTAATACTCTTTTTTTTTGCCCCTTGATTTGTTTTTTTTTTTTAGCTATGCAGCTGATGTTGATACTTCTATACTCTTTGGGAATAGCTTGATGGTTTGTAGAAGCAGATCCAGAGGAAGTCTGCTTCCACAGTAAAAGAAGGAGACAGGATGTGGATACTAAACTGATCAACAAGCCATAAGTCCTTCCTTCCTTCCCTCCCCCTGTTAGTTTGGCATACAATGTGCAGTAGGATGTCCTTTTTCACCTTGGATCTTTTCCATGTAACTTTTCTTAGTTTCCACTATTTAAAATAACATTTACTATTGCTTACCCTGACTACCATCAGCAACACATTCTGCCAATAGAAAATGCTATAAACATAGGCAAGGCTATATAGAACGACCTCTGACAGTCCTAGACTACAAAGGAGAAACAAAGATGAGGATGAAGGGAGGAAAAGATAGATCATTTAGACAAAGTGATATAATATTCGGTTTGCCTACTTTGGGTGGTGTTATCCTGATTTCTTCTGTTCATGTTGTCTGCTGATTGTTTTACCTTATTTTCCTCTTCCTATATTTATACTTTCTCTTCATTGCTTGCGTAAGTTGGTTTTGCATCCTGTTTTGTAAAGGACAAATTTGTTTAATGGTCACTCTGTAAAATCAGGGAAAGGACACAGTTCTTTTTCTCATTAGATAGCTACCTGAGGTCAAACTCTAGACCCTATATGCCATGGCAACATCTATCTCAGGTGCATGTAGTTTGAAGGTTTGGGGGAGAAGTGCATTAAAACCCAGAAGGCAAGTAAAAATGATGGGAAATAATATCCTTGGCATTGCCTTACCCCCAAGAAAATGTTATTTAAAAGTCAATTCAGGGTTTAGGAGTTGTCTTATCTTTTGTAGGAGCTGACAGTGGTGGAAGTCAATAGGCATTAATGTGCTCCCATATACAGAAGAGAGATTCAAAATTACTTTAAAAGTCCAGAGGGCAGGAGAAAAACATTCAGGATTAGTGGAGGAAGAGGGGTAAAAGCATAATAACATAAATTGACAAGGTAGATTCCTTGTTAAGGTCTTAAAGAAGATGGGTGGCTGTTTGGTGCATCTGTGTAATACGTTTTCTCTGCAAAGTTGATAACTCTTGACGTATTGCATGTTATGTAGGCTCTGAGATACCAGGAGAAACACCTGACACCAAGAGGAAAAGGTAGAAAAGCTTGAGGGGAAAAAAAAAAAGTGATGTGACCTTAGTTCTGCAAGGATAGGGAAATGACAGGCTAGTCAAGTCTTGGCATCTGGGTAAGAAGTGTCAGCCTTGATGCTAAGTTTGATGTAGGCATCTTAATAACATGGAAAACTAAGGTTTCAAGATGATATCATGCTCAGTTACTTGTATCTTTCTCTCTGGTTTTCCTGTGGAGTCTGTCTGCCATCTTTTGTCTTCCCAGGAAGGCTCCTCTTGGGCTAGAATATGCTCTTTTGGGCCTAAAATTCCCATTTCCTCCTCTGCCTCAGTCCGTGTTTGTCCGTTCTTGCTGAGAGGAGCTGGTCCTGCTCTGCAGCGACAGGGCAACAGTAACAACCAGGCAGGGATACTGGTGTCCTTCACAATTTCATTATTGCTAACTCTCATGATTTTCCTGCAAGATACTTGTTTTAATTACCACCTCAGTTACTGGAGTCAGTGATTAAATGAGAATCTCAGATTTCACTTAAAAATAAATCTCCAGCATTTGTAGGTGTTGAGAAAGAGTTTGAAAATGTGGTAGTGTGGTGTGAATTATACCCTAGAGGCTTAAAGGCTAGGAAAAAAACCAGCAATTTTTTTTAAAAGCCTCTTCATTTTATTACTGTTTTATCATCTGAGGTTGCTTAAAATCCCCATTATTTTTTTGTGGCTGCTTTATGATTTTCAGCTCCTTGGATTGATAATGCTGCAGATCAGATATCACTTCTTCACTTCTAAGAGTTTTAATTAGAATTTCCCTGCAGATTTTAAGCAGCCAATTGAGGAAATGTAAAGTGAAAAAACAAAATTTTTATGTGAGTGTTCAGCATTATTGCATGGATCTTGAGTTTACCCATGAATGTTATCAAAAGCTAGTCTGTCAGTGAGTAGAGCAGTGCAGTGTCTCCTCTGGTTTTTGCACTGTGCCAACTGCTATGTACATGGACTCCAAACTTAATAAAATTGATAAACTAATAGTAACAAGAAGGGATTTTGTCCATCTTATGAACTGTGGTGTTTGTTCCAAGGCAGAGTTCTCTTTTTCTTAAATCTTGAAGGGATTCAGGACTAAGTCATGTCAAACAACAGCATGCTCATCCGAGGAGAGCTACTGAGTGCATTTAGTTATCCTCACTGGTTGTCTCAGCACAGAGTGTGCTGATTATAGATAATGCTACCTTCGAAAGCACATTGTTAGCAATTGTGTTGTTTATTTTGGTAGATCAAATATGCATGTTTCTTCGGATGGTCTTAAATGTCCAGCTGCTGTTTTGAAAGCGGAGTTTCCAGGCATAGTTTCTTCTTGCTTTGACCTCTTGCGTTATTTTCTGCAGAGTGGGGAAGATCACAAATTTTGTATTCCTTCTCTCCCCCTACAGTAATTCTGGGAGACACTGAACATATTTGCAGATAAAAGCAGATACTTCTCCTGTTTCTGTCCTATATCCCTCTAACTTATTTATTTGTTTTCATTTGAATGCAGATTTTAGTAATGTGCCTGATGTCACATCCCGCTTGAAAAGGAGCAGTACTGATGGCACTCTGGACCAAGTGCCACACAGGGAGAAGACCGATCCACCTTTCAGGGTAAGAACATGCTTGACATAACAATCCTTATTAACAAAACGACAGTGTTGCAGTGTTAACACTCAGCATTTTGTGGGAAAGAATATAATGTACAGCACTAATTTGAAAAAAAATTTAATGCGTATTAGCTGTACTGAGTGTTTTGTTATTTTGAGGTCATCCTGACAGGCCAGCATCTATGGCACAGCTGCTGTCTCTTCAGAAGCAGTGTGATGGGGACAAATGGCAAAGAGATGGAGATTTCTGAATGCTCAGACCTTCTCTCAGTCAGAACCTTAGGGTCTGGGGCATAACCCTCCCACCGCCGCCCCCGGCTTTGAGAAGCAGTTTTTCATCCATTTTGCGCTGAGTCAGTCAGACTGCAACCTGTGTCCAGCTCAAATCCATATAGTTTTGGACACCTGAACTGCTAGCATGGGTAATGTTTTCATGTTGGTGGCTGTGATTTTTGCTAGGCATTGCCATTCTGAGAACAAAAGTGTTTTTGTTACTTCTGTTGATGAGTTGATTGTATCTCCAAGCAAATTTGTGATAACACTTGCATTACACTCTTGCATAACAGAAATGAAGTTAGAGTTTTGATAGTTCTGAAGCGTACTACTGTCTTGTACTAGGTTGTGTGAAAAATCGGTAGAGATAAAGCAGAACATAAAAACTCAGAAGACCAGAATAGGGAAGATATATTGTGCCTCTATTCATACCTGTTGAGAAGTGTTGATCCTCTCTTACTTTTGGAACTACCTTGTAAACGATTTCAGTCTAATGTAGGTGACTTTATGCAGTTTTTCTAGAGACTAAGGAGAAGCACAGTGATTGTGGGTCTTTAGCCCGTCTCCTGCTGCACAGGGGATTCCTACAGAGATAATCTATATCCTGTGTAATGCATTGCTTACGCTCACAAAAAGTCTTTGCAACCAGAGAAGAATAAATCAGATTTTCTTCTCCTAAGACACGTTTTTCCTTTGGCCAGGTTCGCTCAGGTTACACACTGCTCCCCATGCGCTGTGCAGATATACCCGACTGAGCTCCTGTACTGCTGGAGGGGAGGAGATTCTGGGGCTTGAGCTTTGCTTTAGCAGGAAAACAAAGCCCATCCTGATCATCTGTGTCAAATGCAGCAGATGACAGAAAATTAGTGAGAGTTCAGGAGGATTTAATGTAGAGAGAACAATTCATGAATGCTCGTTGTTACTCTGAATGCACTAAAATTGTTCCAATGCTCTAAATTATGTGCTGCAATTAAAGTTCAAAAAAGAGGGGAAAACAGACAGGTCTGCTCCCTGCCCTCTCTCCAGCCTGAAATCTGTCACGTCTAGCAGTATTAATGGCTTGTGCACAATTTGCTGAAGTAACTGCCAATGCCATATTGCAGTTCACTTTTTGGGTTGGTGTGCAGGTCTGCAAGTGTCATTTTAAAAATTATATGAAGCTGCCCTAGTTTTGTAGGTACAAGGGGAGGAAATGGCTTGGCAATCAGAGGCAGACTGACTTGAACTGCAGCTGTAAATGAGTCTGTGACAGCTCTACAATTTCTGCAAATGGCTTGTAATTGATTGCTGTCTTTCTGTTGGAGGGTGCCTATTACTGTCAGAGCTTTTTGTCTGACCCTTTTGATTTCTTCAGTAGATGTAGAATTAAAAAAACCCCAAACCTCACAGTAAATTTAGTAGTGTATATTGTATGTGCTTTTGTGATTGGAGATGAAACGAATTAAAATGATTTCTGGTTTTATAGCTGTGATTTGGAACTACTCGCCAGCTCTTGCTAGCGAAAGCTAATTTGAGGAAATTGTGCAGTCTCAAAAAGCCTAGCATCTGGATTTGGGGTTGGTGTTTTTTTCCCCCCTTTGCCTTCTGTTTCCTGCATGTGCTAACTTGACCCGTGCCTGTGGGAGAGCAGTAGCGCAGACACCTCAGCATTAGGCGATGTCACAGAAGTACGGGGGAGAGGAGATCTGCAAGCACAGCTCTGTGAAGACGTTGGTGGCGCTAAGAGGTTCTGAGCACAGCCTGGAACAACAGGCAGTTTGGGATTATTTCAGGGGAAAGATAGCTAGAGATGTTCACTTCGCAGTTGACAGCAACTGTAGATGTAATTATTTGGCTCTGAGGAAGCAGACTCCTTTGAAGCTCGGTTGTTTTTTGTGCCGTAACATGTAAGTAAATAAAAAACAATCTTAAAGCTTTGGATTTAATGGTTGCATGTCTGATTTCTAGATTTTGTGTTCCTCGTTTGCAGCATTTTTGTTTGTTTAGTTTTCATTATTATTCTCTTAATCTCATACCAAGCTAAGGTTAAGCATAATCTCAACTGAAAGTACAGTGAGACATTTCAGAAGTGCCTTGTAATCTCAAAGAAATAAGTCTTTTGTTGCATGTGTACTGCATTCAAACATGCATTCATTCATTCATTCATTCATTTTTTGTAGCCTGAGAAATGAATGAATTTATAAGAGTTGTATGTTTGCCTTTCATCTGAGGGCTAATAAATGAGTTAGAAGAGTGACAGAGTATTGCTTCATTCCAGTAATGGAAGCTGTTCCTTAAGTTATAAAATATTATTAAAGACTTATGAACATCAAGAACCTTCTTTTCTAGATGCTCATTAATTTTGTCAGCTCTGTATTCTCTGGGTTGCCCCATTTATACCTTTAATACCTTTAACTTCATTTTCTGTTTTATTTAACAAGGATAGATATTCTACTTCTAACACATTCTACTGCAGTATATTTTCAAACTGTGTTAAAATACTGTTTATGCGGCTGTGGCATGTCGTCCTTGTGATTGTTGGTTCTGGAGTATGTAGGTGTACTGTTGACAGGAGAATAGAAGACCTCAGAAAATATGGGGATTGAGTATGCCTGTCAGTGCAATTAGGTTTAGTTGTGTTTAATCATTTTGAGAACTAATTGTCTGTGCTCCTGGTGCTCAATTAAATCCTGGTTTGTTGACAGTTGCCAAGAATCAAGCCCTCCGTACATTAAAGTAGCGTGAAGCTGAATAAACAAAAAATGTAACTTTTTCTTTAGCTATTTGTGATTTCTAATTGCAAACTCTGTTGGTTAGAAATGTTTTCTCTAGCCCATGGTTTCTTTTAAAATGAAGTTTAGAAGTCTGTTACTCTCTTGCTTATCTTTACTTTGTATTTTCAGTATGTTAAAAATATCCTATGAAAGATGAACATACCTGAAAGTTGAAGTTTTACCATATAAGTAACTACTGTTCTAAGGTCTCTCATAAGACTGTTGTCATCTGACTTTCGATTGCTCTGAATATTTTGGGTATCATCAGAGATAAGTATTTCCAAAATTACATTAAATTTTAACAAAAGAAGAGAATGAACTTTGTCTAAATGTATGTTTGAGAGTGGTGGGTCGTATTGTCACTTTAAATATTTTACAGATCATCAGAAAAAACCTTAGAGTAAACTCTGTGTAAATATTTCACATAACTTCATTATATTCCCAGCTATATCTTAGAGTTCTTTAAGAAATTTAAGAATCCTAGTAAAAATAGCTAGTGTGATACTTTGCAAACATGATAAAAATAGTCAATGAATGCAGAATGCTAGCATCGTCAAAAAATTGACATTGCAGATGGAGAAACGGAAGCTACTGTAATGAGAATCTTTGAATGTTAATGAAAATTTGCTTTCTAAAGAATGACCAACTGGTCTGATTTTGTAATGCTTTTAAAGTGTTGCTATGTTTTTTTCAAACAATGAAGTAAATTCTGGGATGCTGGGAATAAGTTGGTTAAAGAGATTTACAGAAATTGCCTTTGCTCTGCTGCTGTCTCTCAAAATAGTCAGTCTACTCTCAGAGCAGGCTATTGATCATACATCAGTATGTATATGTGAGGACAATTCTATCCCCATCACCTCTTAATAGAAAAAATAAAAACTACTACGCACTGCAGAGGGATAAAACTATTTCTTGTTTATTGTGATGCCCATTATGGACAGTTACCCATTTGCCAGAGAGGAGCTTTTCGAAGTGCGGTGAGAAGTAGGTGTTGCCATGAACTCTGCGTATCTGGGACGATGGTGACAAATCTGCTTTTTGTTCTCCCTGCCTACAGTCCCACTTCTCATGCTCAAGGAGCCAACATTCAAATGTGCCAAACTTGGATAATGGTTGAGGTTTTTCTTCCAAGCATGTGTGCAATTGAGCAGCTGTTTTGCCTGTCAGATGATGCCCGAGTAGTGTGGGTGCAGAGACTGAGACTGGGTCAGAAAGCAAATCCATCTTCCCACTTCTGCGTCATCCAACTACCACAACAGGCTTCCCAAAATGGTGCTTTCAACATATGCAAACTACATGTGTCATGATTTCAAAAAGGAAATCCTTGTGCTACCTGTTAGTTGATTTCACATGGCTATTTCTGTAATAAAAAATCAGTGAGTATTATAGAGATCTTGCTGCATATGTCGTTTTGGCCTCCTGTATATACAACTAAGCCATATAGTGGAGGGATGATTTTCATAAGTTGAAGAAATTAATAGTTTGTCTTCAAACTGTCTAAAACTGAGTTTTAAACTGACTTTTAAACCTCTTCATTATAGGTGGAATAAAAAAATACTGGTATGCCCATATGGCCCCAAACTTATTTCTTGCATGGAGGCAATCCCAGTTAAATGATGTTGTTGGTGATAGATACTCATTTGTTCTACTTTACATTGCCCAGGCAGTTCCCATTTGCACAGAGTGTCATTAATGGCCACAGAGTTGCCTGCCTGAAGGTTTACTCAGCATCCGTAGGACATTGAGGATCTTTCCTTTCCAAGAGAACTTCTCTTTAGCAGTTGATGAGATCTAAAATCTTGGGGAGTAGTCCGCAATTAACATCCTTTTTTTTCCTGTTCTTTATAGGTAAGGGACTAACAACGTAGTGCTCTCAAAATCGTGTATATGCCTCTGCAAGCCAAGTGTCATTTCCTTCCAGATGTGAGATGCATTTAGAGAGTCTAAGAGCTAACATGGGAAAATAGCACGTTCCTCA